CTTTATTACCCTAAATGAAAAAGAATGAATACATCTCATAGATCTGATCTGCTGGTAGTCTAAAAATATGTCAAAGTCTAACCAATCTTCTACAACGAGTAGCTACCATGACCCAAAAAAACGCTCCCCCTCCTCCATTTTTAATGGTTAGATCTAGGAAAAATATTTTTGCAGGCAGCAGATCGACTTACGCAAATACTGAAAGACCACCAGCTCTTCCATTTTCTGGCTACGGCATGTCGCCGTGTATTCACCTATCGGTGGCTTCAGCACCATAAACAGTTTGGCGTTGTACGAATCCCCTTCTGACATCGCAAGACCCGGAGGTTGTATACTACAAGAGACGAGATCTGAAATCACAATATCAACTGCTTCTGCCAACACCAGACGGCATATATGGCTGCCGTTCAGTCGGGTCATGTCCGTCTCTTGCACACGTTTTGGGGAGTCCAGACACTTCAAGCGCTGGCGTGTTGTGTTCAAGAGATACAGTTTGGCCGAGAAATTGGCAATCCGAGCGTTGAGAAGGCGGGCCCGGTCCCCATTTCGGCCTCCTTTGGTTGACTCAAACCAGACAGGCAGATATGAGCAAGCCAACTCAATGCGCTGCGGAAGGGATGCATAATACCGGGACAATTGTGTTAGCGGAATAGTCGGCATCGTCGCCATCAATTCTTGGTGCCAGGTGCATCTGGCCGCCTGGCCTATACAGTCGGCCAGTCGGCTGGAGCAGGGGATGGGCGGATGGTGCTTGGTGGCGGCTGGCAGACAAGGCACCGAAGACTCTGGTTTCTGCCAGCCGATACAGATCGTGGGATCGGGCTCACTGATGGCCAGATAGCCTCGTTGAGCTGTTGGCACGGTTAGCTTCAGTCTATACCTTTGGCCTATCAGAAATTGCAGGAATGCAGGGCGAGATTCATACAAATAGGCTTTACAAATAGAAACCTTTTGTACATAATGTTCAGAAGTCCTGCAAGCCTTTTTTACCATCTTCTCTACCATTCATTCTGTGTTGCTTCCATACTAATCGGTTGATCATCTCACTGAATCTATATACCCCATATTCTAGTCTCTAGTTTGATGTAAAATAGTGCCTTCTTGATTACCTTGTAGGGAGATTAAAAAGTCACCAGGACTTGTGACTACGTTTACTTTCAGGAGAATTATTTTTTAGAGAATTTTCCTAGAATAAAATTGCTGCCTCTTGAGTATCTTCTTTGTGCTTTGGATTGCATAGTGCGGCTAGTTACAAACAAAATGCTCGATTGGCATCCCATTAAAGGGTAATAATGAATAATAACTGGTTTTAAAGGAATTTCTTTCTATTTCGTAGTTACCTTGACTTTTAATTCGAGTGAAACTCTGTAATGAAGAGATTCACTGGCATTCACTGATTCATTTTGATCTGATGTCGTTTTGTTTTATTCGGATGTTCAGATATACTAAAATGCTCGAGACAATCCTTCGGCTGATATGAGATCGTTCTGACCGCTTATTAATCCTACAACAGATATTAACCGAGCAAAGACGCATTCTTAAGTCCGTATCGCGTTTAGGAAATTAGCCGGCTAGTCATCTTTTGTCATGTACTCTCACGAGTATACTCAGTTAAGGTCAGGTATAGGAAGACTTTATATTGATATGAGTATTTGTTCGAGATTATCAATAATTATTGCATAAGAAATAAGGGGATTCAAGCACTTATAGTTGAATTTTCATGCAATGGCTTCATAATGACATTGAATTTCACTTAATTTTCTTCCCAAAAGCTGGTCTCATGCAGAATGATCTGTATGACCTCATCAGCATCCCCAGCGGGATTTGATACCGGGTCGTAAGTGTCGTAGCGATTTTACCAGCACATTTTACTAAATAGTCACAAGTTCCACTATGTCATAGGACAGATTTGACCTTCAAGGAGTGGTAGCGTCGTTACGGTGCTTAAGACTCGGTATCAAATCCAGCTGGAGGCTCGTATAAAACATAGACGATGTCGAAACTGCAATTCAGCCTGGATTAGTTTATTTTTTGTTATATAAGCAGGTTTTCGAGATTACCTGTAGATCATATATAGCCGAGGTGACTTCACAATATTTCGTTTAAAGTGACAAAAGGATGGATAGACACTCTAGATGAGAATAATTTTTTTTGAAATTAAAGTTATGTGAAATTCAATGGAAACTTACGATCTACTCATATAATAGGGGGGAAAATTCAACTACCAGTCCTATATCACCTCAAACGAGATAGGGTGTACACACCTCACATATGGATTATATTAGCTTGGGAAGTCAAGGCTAGGTGAAATTCAATATTATCCTGAGGCCTACTCATTTCATTGTGGGGAAAACTCATCTATCAGTCGTTAATTGAAGGTGTATAGACCAAAACGATGTGTCCTTTTGTATGATCTCGATCTCCTTACGTTGCCAACATGTGGTATGACCTTTTTTCGAAAATTGGTCCTATAGTCAGGGCTTGTCCTTGCCCGGAACTCTCTGCCATGGTACCAAGGTTAATTGATGAGTTTAGTAAATTTTCATGTCCATGGTACGACGCTGGAAATTATAATGGATGCTATGGCAGAGGACTTCATACAAGGTGCGCTTATCTAGGCTTCCCAGACAATAGAACCAAGTTGAGAAACTGAGGTCAAATCATTTTTATTAGTCCTCAAATCACCTTAAATACCCTAGGGTGACTAAGTTCTTATTTAAAGACTTGGTTAGTTCCATACGAAATGTGTAACAGTGTAGTTATGCGTGCGCATATTTATGTGGGAGGGGAATATTCATTACCAAACTAATAGGCCCGAGTTACCAGAATAGAACAAAAACATCTTTTTCGGAGTAATCTTAGCTTACTGATTTTTCCGTATATCCGCATATGCTCGCAAACAAACAATGGTA